GCCTGTTATGGTGTCTAGTACAGAAACGGCAGTGTTGTGACACTTGTTCCTCCCACCTTTCCTTCCTAATAGTTTAAACTAGGGCTGTCAAAGTTGCATGAGTTCCTTTTGATGCATTACATTATGTGATTATGACCCTTGGCCCGCCCCGTAGTTTGGGGCTTCAGGAAGCGACCTAGAAATGCTAAAGAAAAGGTCTTGACTGTCAAGTTCAGCTCCAAAGCCCTGCCAAATGGTTCTCTCAGCAAGAAAGTTTTTTGCGTTTATTATTTGAACTGACAACAAAGCACACAGAAAGCCCCCCACCTTGACAAAGGCAGATTAAGTTTTGCTTGCAGTCTCCCCAGCATCAACCGCAGTAGCTAAATGGATGGCTACAGCTTGCAGGCTGATTAACAGTGTGGAAGATGATGGGTCTGGTTTTAAATTTGCATCGCATCCAAAGACTGCATGTATGAACTGCCTTCAAGAGCCACTGTAACAAGATGCAAAGTGGAGGAGGCATTGGGACAGACCAACATGGTTGGGCTCACCAGAGATTACTGGACTTCTCAAAGTATAGCTACCACAATTGTACTGTAAATGTACTTTCATCCATTTAGAATGGATGATGTTTATTCCTGAGTTGACCAAGGATACAACTGATCCTAGCATCTTCACATCAATAATGTTACTGTAAATATGTCTGATGCACATCAGACCTGAAATTTAGTGATTTCATCAACTATTAAACGGCTCATGTCTGATCTTAAGGTTACAGTTGGCATGAACCCCAACACCTGGAAAGTACTGGGCTTCAGTACATATCAGATATGAGGTTGTCAGTAGCCAGGTTCCTCTTTTTTACTCTTTCTCTTGTAGAAACCAGAGCGTGACGAGTGGGGGAGTGGGCTGGAGGCCATGCAGTGTGCCCTGCAGCTGGAGAAGAAGGTCAACCAGGCTCTGCTTGACCTGCACAAGCTGGCTACTCAGTATGCAGACCCTCATGTAAGTTGGCTGAAGACAATGCTGAGATAAGACAAAGTTGAATGATTTACTAGTCTTGACCAAATAACTGTTTTCTCCCCCTGTCCTCAGCTGTGTGACTTCTTGGAGAGGCACTATCTGAACGAACAGGTGGAGCACATGAAGAAGCTGGGCGACTACATCACCAATCTCACCCAAATGGATGCATCTACCAACAAGATGGCAGAGTACCTGTTTGACAAGCACACCCTGGAGGGCAAGAGCTAAACAGAGTCCCAAGAATGAGAGTAGTGTCAGTCTCTGGCATACAGGCTTCTTCTCAGTTTACTCACCGAGCTTAATCTTATCTTATCTGCCTAACTTATTCTCATATGCTCTGGAGCTTTAAATGTCATATGAAAGAATAGATGTTTACAGCTGTCCTAATTCCCTCTAAGGCTCTAGTGTGACTGTTTCTGATCTGTCGGTGTGAATAAACATTTGACTTGTCTGCATCTCCTTCCTGTCCATAATCACTTGTGTGCTATCAGTATGTAAACATACTGGACCATGAATCGAACTGTATTGGTTGGATTCTGGCTTGAAATGGTGTCTGTTCCAGAGGAATTGGTTTGTACCCCTTAATGCTCATTCTTGATATATCCACAAGCAAGAAATCTAGTGGCCAATGGAGCACAGCTCTATTATTGAATTGTAAATTCAGTCTCGTGTAGTCCAAAGTAACCTCGGGACCCTCTACGAAGTAATGTCAACCTTACCGCTATTGTAGTGATAAATACTTAGACAGCAGAGTAAAACCTTTTTAATAGAAGACCCCCCTCTAACAGACCCCAGCTCTTGATGGGAGAGTGTGTAAAGTAAAATGAGACACAAATGCTGGGCAGGTTGATGTGACTGTTCATCAAACACAGAGCTCTGGATCCAGGGAGACGGTGATGTACTGTTGGCCTGTAGAGAGGGGAAGAACTCTTGAGCATCATGGGAGGACACCCCCACCCCCAGCAGTCTATCCCCTGTAGCAACATAACTGTGAAGGCTCAGGGACACCAGGTAGTAAATTTATCTAGGGAAGATTTGGTTGCAAATCAAATGCAGCCAAAGAACTTGGACCTGACACTAAATGGGGTGAGTTACTGTATATGTGTTTTGTTTTAGGTTTATGGCTATGGTAGTTTTTATCATGGCCAAATTGGTGTTTTAAAATAAAACTAGACAAAACTCCAAGCATATAAGAAGCTGGAATGAGAAAATTTGCTGGTGTTCTGTTCACTTGTGGTACTTGGGTTTGTCTTTTGCTATATTGATTTTAGTTCTGACTTGGAAAATGACTTGACTGTGAAACATCTCATTATTAGAGTAATAAAGTGCAGCATCTGTCACTCAAGGTGTGAAGAGTGATTTATAACTGACACGCTTCCGCCCAAGCTGTTTTGCAATGTACACCTGCAAATCATAAAATTGCAGTTGACTATATTTTATTAATATACAACTGCAGCTGGTAAAAATAAAACTGGGGTGGGAACACATGGGAACAAGTTAACGATCATGTTTTTATATTAACATCAAAAGCTATTAGGCTCTCCTTAGCAACAGGTCTGACCACCAGCATCACACATCAAAAGAGTTTTATTAGGACTGATTAGTAAAACACAGGTTTAGGCTTTCATTGCATCATGTTTATTACAAAAACTTTGTGGCTGTTGAAATACACTCCAGTCTGAGTTGTCATGAAACAAGCCAAACGTGTTGTCGATGACTGTAGGGGTCTGTCCAGACTGTAGTGATGTTAATGCTAGTGGGGTGCTCTTCACATCTGCTGGACCTGAGGAAGAGAGAGCGCAATTTCTTAATATAAATAACTGAAAATGAGCTGGGAATCTTGTTCACGTATAAAGGCAAAACATATTAAAATTAAACCAGAGGCCCATCTGAAAATGTACTTGAAAAGCACGATGATTCAAGATCATTCAAGACTTAAGTTTCAGACACCATTGATTACTTTATAAATTTGTATCAAACGTTCCTCACTAAAATCAATATATCAAAAACATTCACACTGTTATTTAAAATCAGGACCCAGGAGGTAGAGGCTTTCACCAAGCATATCAACTCCGTGAATATCGACATCAAGTTCACACACTTACCCTCTTTCCCAGAACAGCATTCACTTGTGCGCGGTTACTGTTGTGTAGCTCAGCCGCAACATTTGAAGCCTGTTCTTTCCTGAACATCATAAAAGCCTTTGGTGGCTTCTTAATATAAGGTCGACCGTCCTCCTGTTGGTTCCTGTGCTTTCTCTTGCTACGGGGAGACAGACAGAACACATTAAAGCAGACATTACCACTGGGTAAAACTTTGAGGAAAGACTATGAAACAAACAATATGTAAAAATATATTTTTGACCAAAACCAGCCGCTTACTTTGAGTTAGGGGAGGTCAGTGGAGGAGCAGCAGGGACAGGAGGAGCCAAGTGAGATGGAGGGTTTGGGTCTGTCAGGTTTTCAGATATAATCTCCTTGAGAGTCTGTACCACCTCTTTCCATTGCATCTTGCCTATAATGTGTTTGAATTCGACCCTAACATCCATCATATTTGTGGAGATGTTTGGGCTAATAGCATCAAATACAAGAGTCAGCATGAGAAGGACCAGTGTTTGTGTAATGCTGCCAAAGGAAACACACAATCAGTGTTTTGCCTATGGCAATTCAAATTGGCACATTTGAAGTTTGAATTTTACATCAAAATTTAAATTATGACTAGTCAAAACTCAAATTTACAATATTTTCCAAGTAATTTGGACTAGTAGATGTGTTTAAATACTTACCTGCAGTAATCACTGATGGTTCAATTCAGTAAAAGTTATTGCTTTTTCCGTCAAATTCCTTCAAATGTATTTTAGTAATTTTCTGTGAGAAACTGACCGGTGCACACTGTGAAGTCTTAAGATAAACTGACCCCAAAGAATCGTTCTCTGAGTAATAGTGGAATCTTGTCCTAACAGAATCTTTGTGCATTGTGTATACGAGCTTTTAAAAAGTTTTCTTTTGAATAACTGGCTGTAAAGGATATGTTCTTCTTATATTTTTATGTGCATACATTTGAATTAGTAACTTTTATCATTGAAAGTATGATGTTAGTTAGCAAACAGAACAGTTGTGTCACATCATAATTTTAAAGTCTCTGCTGTGTCCTCCAGATTAAAACTCAGTGCTCCAAACCCATAACACACTTGCATTTTGCATAAACCTGTAAACATACTGAATGTGGGTCATCTAGTAACTGTCTAAATTAACTACTTGAAGGTACTAAACTACTTGTTTTGGATAGGGTTTGCAATGTACTGTGATCATGTGCTGGAGATGCTCAGTACTGCACCGTGAAGACAAGTTTCATACACCTTACAACTTCACATGAAGGTCAGCTGTTTATTGATCACATCTGGATGACAGTTTTGACTCAAGGTCTTACATGACCATGGATTCAATGAAATCCTGTATTTCAGCTTAATGTATCCTCCCTGTACTGATGACATTTAGGTTGAAATACCTAAACTGAATCCAGGATGAATCTCTAATGGCTTTATTTTTGTTACAAAGTTATACAAACTAAACTATGTCCTCTGACAATGCTGCCTAAGTCCTGTTTAATTATGGGCAAAACCAAACCCGATGTGGTTTCCTTATCTGACTGGTTTGGTTGCTGTCCAGGGTGCTGAAGCCTGCAGAGCAACTCAACTGAAAAATCAAATGTGAAAAAACTAGACAATTTGTGATTGCAACAATTATCTGGGAGAAGTGATGCATTATTTGACAGAAATACAGGGGTGCCAATATTTTTAGCCATGACTACACACATAACTTACTCCATTATATTTATTCTGCATTTAAACATGTTCAAAAATATGTAGTTTATTGTCTTTTGAAACCGCAAAGTGCTTCGTTATTGCAGGTGATGGGCTATTCGCAGGTAAGAATGAATGAATAATAAATTAAATAAATTAAGAATACATTAGTGAAACATTACATTTCCCATGGTTAGTTTTCTGTAGATCCATCAATGACTCATTTCAGCGTCACTTATTTTCTCTAACTTTGTCTTTAGCCTTGTCCATAAACCAGCATTTCACTTGAACAGTAAATCAGTTAAGACCCTGCCATGGTCAAAGGGAGCACAGGGGTAATATGATCAATTTATTGGATGATATACCTCAGTGTTCCCTTTGATTGCATTCCAATACATTTCACCTGCATGAATGTGCTAAGGAGCTCCGTGATTGGCTGAAATGTGTAGTCACGTGACAGCTCTCGTGAGGCCTCCATGGTATATAAAGAGAGGGAGAGCGACTTGTTTGTCACTTCACTGCAGGGAAGAAGTTCTTGTTTCAGCAGTGTTTGAACGGAACCATCTTTCTGTGCTGTTTAAGCAAAAGTAGAAGAAACACCAGCTGAAATGGACTCCCAGGTGCGTCACAACTACCACTGTGACTGTGAAGCCGCCATCAACCGGATGGTCAACATGGAGCTCTATGCTTCCTACACCTACACTTCCATGGTGAGAAGACAATTTACAGATTATCAGAAATGTAGTAGTGCATTATACCTTAATGTTTTGTCTTTGTAGTTTATATTACTCATAACACCAGTGTTAATACTATGTCAAACTAGTTGTCTTCATTGGTAATGTTCTGCATATTTCAGTTGGAGCATAAACTTTTCTTTAATCTTCCCTTATCAACCTCACGGCATTAAAAAGAAAAACAAATCAACGTAATATGTAGTGTTAATTTGGTATTGTAAGCCCCGCCCCTTTCCTGTTGCTGAATGCAACAGAATTTTAGGTCTGCTCCAAAGCAGAAATCAAGCAAAGCTTTCCCAGAGGTGGCTTTCTGTTTAAATATCACACCGATTTGTGTGAAAGTGGGCTCTATTCTGGTAAGTTTGTTCTCAAAAAGGGATATTTAAGGTTATTTGACAGCTTTAGTGGCCTGTTACTGACTCAGCCTCTGGTTGCAAGATGGCTGCCCTCCTTCATTTATGAAATATCATCAATCATTTGGTGTTAACTTTTATTTACCCAGTTGGTGTGTAATCTGTCAGGGCGGTTGGATTTTTGGCAGCAAGATGTGTCCATGCCGTTCTAGAAATAACGTAGCATGAGTAACTCATAGCATGAGTGAGTAAAATGTAGTGTTCTAACTTGCTTTTAAGCCCCACCCCTTTCCTGTTGGTGAATGGTACTGAGCCAAACTCGGTAGAAATCAAGCAATTTTCCAGAGGTAACTTCTGTTTAAATGTCACCCCTAGTTGTGTGAGAGTGGGCTCTGTTAAGTTTGTTTGAGGAGCTGTCTGGTTTCAAAAAGGGGTATTTTGAGGTTATTTCTCATGTCATCAATTATGATGTGCTGCTACCAGCTTTTGTCTTGACTTCCTTCTGCCTCCTCACAGAGCTCTTTCTTCTCCCGTGATGATGTGGCCCTCCCAGGCTTTGCTCATTACTTC